CGTCGCGGCCTCGGGGGTCATAGCCGGGGCCGCCTTTACAGTCATCGCGGTCGTAGCCTCGGCCCCACGCGTCTCCGCCTGCGGCCTGTCCCCGAACGGATCGAGTATGCGCACAATAACCCAACAAGTGGTAACGGCCGCGGAGACCACCGCACATACCGTCACCAGGCCCCCGTTGTTATAGTTGGCAACCCACCAGGTCGGACTGATGCACGTTCGCCAGCCTGCTTGCTCCCACCGCTCAGGTCTCGTAAGGTCGCGCAGCCCGCGTTCAATGTCTCCGTAATTGACCCCTCGAGCGACTCCGACCGTCTCGGTCCCGACCGTCTCGGTCCCGACCGCCTCGAATTTGCCGAAAAGGGGCCACCACTCGGGCGGCATTTGCTTCGCCAACGCGGCACCATCACCCTTGGTGAGCGCAGTAGAGAAGACTAGCTCGGTGCGCGTATCCGCTGCGTGAACCGGCGGCAAGCCGGACCCGGGTGTGCCAAACATCTGCAGTCCCAGGGCGTCAGTCAGGTCTTCTCTGGCCGCTTCCGGGTCGTCGGTGTACACGTTCAAGACCAGGGCCTCCACGAAGTCCTTCACCGATTTCCAGGCGGCTGCCTCCACACGCCATGAGTCGTCGGAAGACGCCAGAAACCTGATTCCGTTCGCGTCTTGTAACCAGTCAAAGGTATCGACTGAAGACGCCTTCAGGGGCAGCTTCTTCGGCACCACCACTATTGCCAGAGCAACCTGTGCGGGTTGACTCGGGGAACATAACCCGATCATCTGAGGACGACACCCTTCAACGCTTGGAAGGGTCCCGTCAGGGTTCACCAAGGCTGCAACCAGTCCCGTGCTGCCAGCACCCACCGTGATGAAGGATTTCATTGGCCCGGCGGACTTCATTGGCCGATTAATAATCACACCAAACCCAACAGCATCCGACACAACTGACACTACGACCAGGCCTGACCTGGATAAAAGCACGATTTATGGTGTAAGCAAACACTTTAATTAAGGTCGCAACAGGGTTGGTAGCCATCATGTGTTTGGAAGCGAACCTCAAAAAAGGGCGATCGGAAACCAAGACCTGGCAGCATGACGGCTCAACAGCTCTCCCAGCTTATGCGGTCCGGTTCTCTGCTCGACCTTGGTGGTGGTCTCTGCGCGGGCTGAGCTTGGGTGACCTAAGTGTCCGCTGTGGCTGTGGCCCCTCACCCTTTCGGGGCAGGTGCACCCAGCAGCTTCACATCCGCATTCCTTGACTAGCCCCTAACGCTGCATGAACAAGGCGCGCAGAACTCCAGTTTCGGGCCTCACGGTGGTATCAGCCTGCACTGCACCTTGTCACGCCACACTAGTCTGCCGTATGGACGCAATCGCATTCGATTGCCTTAAATCTCGGTGACTACGTAGGGTAGCTGGCTTGGTATCTCTCCATTCTGACCTTACCACGGATTATGGTATCGGCCTCGATCATGGTACTTACGACTACAACATCTCCCGGCTCGAAGTCTTCGCCTTCGCTGTCGGTGGCTGGGCGAGCACCAGGGCATGTTTTATGGCGCTCGTTGCGTCGAGTAAGTTTGTCATGCTGAACCTTTCTCCCATGGAGCGAGATCCCTCTTCTGACCCCCCGGGTAGCGTGGGCCTCGAGGGTGCGGTGAATCGATTCGTTTAGTCCATTCTGTCGAGGTAGGTATGGTGCGGCGTTGATGTGCTTGACCTTCAGCACGGAAGTCACGTGGTCGTGGAAGTCACCTTTGAACTCCGTTCCGCCGTCCGTGTATACTTCGAAGGGTACCCCCAACGCTGCTACTGCACTTTCTGCAAACAGGTTGCGCGTTACCGCAGCCGTCTTCACCAACGTTACTCGAGCTACGATGCACACAATGATGTAGTATTCCTGCCCTTGGAATGCTCTAGGGCCCACATAATCCATGCTTACTCTACTCATGAAGAACGGTTGCTCCAACGTGCCTTCGTGTGTCCGCGGCAGGTTGCGCACGGGAAGATTGCGGGCACAGATGGCGCACTCTTGGACGAAGTGCTGTACGAACTCCTTGGACCGTGGCCACCACAACAGTTCGGACATGTTCCTGTGGGTCTTAGTGACGCCTTGATGTCCACCGCACTCTCCCATATGGTACCAAGCAGTCAGCGGAGACCTAAGTCAAGTCGGGACGTCAACTCTTTGGTCTTACGGTGTTCGCTCTTAGGTCGTCTTCTCTTTTGAGGAGGTTTTGCAACTCATCCACAGGGATGTCGTCGTCCTTCACAAGGAACTCGTCACGTGACGATCGCTGGAATAGGTTCGCTGACCTCGGCGAAGTGGACCGCAAACGGTCGATTACCGATGTGCATAGCACCGAGGTCCCGATCATGGTCCTCGTCGTCCTGGAGCCTAGACAGGGCATCGGCGACGTAGTTGTCATCTCCTGGGACGTAACCGAACTTTAAGTCGTATTGCTGGAGGAACAGAGCCCATCGACCTACCTTGCCTGTGTCAGCCTTCACTGGGAAAGTGAGATTCCGGTGGTCGGCAAGGACCAGCGTGGGTCTTAGGCGGATGCAAGGCCATTTGGTCACAAAGTACTTGACCGCCCACAACCCTCTTTCTCCCAACGTCCTAATTACCTTGAGCTTGGGTGAGTGTCTTGCTACCGTACTCGACCATGCTACCCATGGTCAGAAGAGGGGTCTCGCTCCATGGGGTAGTAGTCAGCATTGACGAGGTCCTCGATTACCTGTCGCATTGCTACTTCGTGGGAGTCGCGCCACGCGAAGCTTTGGGTCTTTCGGCTGTTCATGAGCTCCTGTAAGGGCTTCACCTTCTCGGAGTACCGCGGCACGAACCTTCGGTGGAACCAGAGTGAACCCAACAGCGACCTCAACCGCTTGTAGTCTTTTGGCGAAGCGACTGTACTCAACGCCTCCACATTTCCAGGCTGGGGCTTGATGCCGCTTTTCCCTATTTCCACTCGTCCTTGGCGCTCAAACTTCTTTACGGTACACACGTTTTCGGTATGGCCCTTCCTGCCGCAATTTGCGCAGAAGAACTGTCGCTTCGGGCACTCGCCTTTCCAATGATCAAGTTGGCCGCATGGTCGGTTGTCGAATCTCCTTCTCTTCGGGGCTCCGCTTGCCTCACGGCAACCGCTGCCCGCGTCTTGCAGTGGGTAGGCGTCAGCTGTTTATGCTGTCATGACTGGTGCGGGCTCTGCGTCTCTACGCGCGGTTAGAGGCTTGAGGGTGTACAGGGCTTGAATCAGCTCCAGTCGTACATCAACCTTTCCGCGTCGTACCTGGTGTTGGTAGGGAGGCATCGCAACACGGCGCGGCACGCCCAGCGCTTGCAGAACGGGAACTCCTCGCCCCAGCATATACACAACCTCGCAAGTCATTCGAGCTGCTTCGTCATGCGGTAGTCCATGTCGTGGCATGACGAGAAGTGTCCGCGCGCTAGGATGTCGGCAGTCACCTCTTCCATGTACAAGCTCGCTGGAAAGATGGCTCCGACGGCCGCTTCGGAATGGGCTTCTGGGGTGCTAACACTACCTAGGTCGTCCACCAGTGCGTTGTCAACAGGGTTAGTAGCCGTCGTGTGTGTCAGTGGGTCTGGAGAATAATCACAAAAGAAGGGTTATCGAGGTGCGGGGGCTAGGACCTAACAGCAGGCTGCGACGGGCCAGTTGTTTCACCAACGCCTGTTTACACACTTCTTAGTCGGCGCTGACGAGACGTGTAGTCAATTTTTGCACTTCGTAGTTGACAAGATATATCTGGCCGCCTATGCCATTCTTTCGGTGGCGAGCTGATTGCGACCCGAAAGCTGAACGGGGTGTAGAGGGTCCAGGCCACACAAAAATAACTCTACTGATGGCGACCAAGAAGTCGTGGTCGCACACCCCAACGGCTCAACAGTCTGCTAGAACTACAGTCGTCGGCGGTCCGGCTTCCACCTGATCGATCCCGTTACCCGCGTCCCTCGTCTGCCTGCATCACTGCCACGGCATCGCAGCTCACTGAAGCGTTACACGCAGCGGCCTACGCGCTCACACTCCCGACAATCTCGAATCCCTACGTACTCGACTTCCCAACCACGGTTAGGCATTGCGGATCCAGGCGTTAGAAAGAGTCTGGTACGTTGTTTTTTTCCCTGGAATGAAGACATTCGGTTGCAGGTCACAGGGCGGACGGAAGCGGGTTGGGCTGTTGGCGGTATTGGTGGACGCGGAGGGGCGTCGGCCTGTAGTGGAAGACTGTGTGCCACGCATGGTGGCCTTTGTGACAGGACATGGCGAGGCAGAGGCGGGTATCGGCCGCGGGGAGGTGGCGTTCGCAGCGGTGCTGATGCCGACGGGCACGAGTGTGGTGCACAAGTGTGGCGGCGAGTTCGACTGGTTCCAGACCTGCACGCGGATGATGATATACCCGGCGTTGGGAGGCCGCGCACACGGTGTGGAAGGCGAGTTGCGGCGCACACTCGAAAAACGACTTGCAGCACTTGGACTCGAACACGCGCCTGTGGCAACGGAACTGCGCCGCGAAATCTTCGGCACACCCGAACCTGCTTCCGGCTGGGAACAGGCTTGGTGGCGCACCTGCAGGGAGCCCCGCGCCGTCAAAGAACACTTTTGCAGACCACTCTTACAATCCGAGTTCGAAAAGCTACTACCGCTCGTGGAGCCCGACTGGCTCGAGACGCTGGTGCGTGCGCGCCACACTGCCGCCGTCTGGGACGAGCGCGCTGCGCGTGCCACCCCTGTGGGGTACAACGAGACCACTTATTGCAGCCCAGTCCGGCCCAGCTTAACCCCGCCGGACTTAGTCCGGTCCAGGTCAGGTTCGGACCTGGTCCGATGCTGGGTTGGTCCGGGGTGGCGCGACGAGGGTGCTGATTTGCTCGGGCGGCGTCCCTGTCTTTCACGGCGTAGGTTTCGTCGTTGGTTGCGAATCGTCCGACGAACGCCGCGCTGGTGCGTGGGTCTGATAGCCGTGCACTTGGGGCTCGGCGGTATGTTGGTGTACATGCTGGCGGGAGGGTTCGAGATGGCGGGGGGGTTGGAGATGGCGGAGAGGTCGGAGAGGTCGGAGAGGTCGGAGAGGTCGGAGATGTCGGAGATGGCGGTGGATTGTGCGAGGTTCTGGGGGGGTGCGCCTGAGTGCGTGGGTAACGCGGTGTGGAGACAGCCGTTGAAGGCAGAGTCTACGTGGCATGCGAAGGAGTTGTCGACAGCGGAGTTGTCGACAGCGGAGTTGGATTGGTTGCGTGAGTGCTGTGCACCGGTAGCGAGACGTACGAGGGAGGCGGTGCTGGAGTGGCACGTGGGTGAGTCGGTTGCAGCAGGCCCGTTATGTCCGGCGGGAGGTAAGCTGACATGTGAGCGGTACCTGGACGAGTCATCAGGAGCATGTCGTGGTTACATACCGGGTGTTAGTGAGTCAGTTTGTTATGGTTTTGGTGTGCCTTACAAGTACGATTTCCTCAGTGTGTTTCGTGCCGTCCAGAAACGATTTGATCCAGAACGCTGCACCGTCAGTTGTGACAGCTCCGATTGGACGCGCGCCCGTCTCTTGTTCAGACTCCTCCAGGAAAGCTTCAACAGCGAACCCGATGACCCCGTCCACCTAATCGGCTCCGAGCCGCCTTACTTACGCTCCAAGGCCCGGCGCCGACTCATTCGTGATCGACGACCAGAAACTATTGACGAAGTATTCCCACGTGACCCACGGTGCTCCGGCTCATGCGAGACTTGTGACCTCCCATACTTCCAACAATTCCAAAACTGTTACTGCGATGTCGCACACTTAAACTGCAATGTTACCCACCACGAGAAACCTGACGGATCCGTGCTGTACGACCAAGCCAAAACAACCTTGAAAATACTTGACATCAAAACTACACCTCTACAACTCGGACGCCGCCTCGCATCCTACGCAAATGACACACAAATCACCGAATGCGAACACGTCTGCCAACGACGTCCCCGTCTCCACTAACTTGACCTAACCGGAGACACTCCCTCCCCGGTGCGGCGCACACACTCTCTCCTCGGTGCGGCGCACACTTCGGTGTGGCGCACACAATCCCCCCTCGCCCCCTGCGCACATTCTTTTTTAGTCAGTGCAACCGAGGCGGCAGAGTCCTCCAGGAAAAAAATACGTGTCGAACGGGTGGTGAGTTGAAACCGTTGCGGGCACCCCCTGTTCCGCGACTCTTGGTTGAGAGGCTCATAGTTGCCACGTAAAGGTGGCAAGCCACCCACCAGTGTGCGCTCAACACCGGACTCAGCACCAACAAGGGAGGAAATACGCCACTTCTATTTATCAAATTGTGTAACTACTCAGCCACGCGCCTGAGGAAGCCTCTCCCTGGCGACCCAACGGCCCCGCAGCAAAGATAACGCCAAATGAGTTTTCATCTTTTTTCGGGTTCAACTCCACCCGCCTTCAATCTTCAGTTCTCTCGCCCATCATCATCCTTCAAGCTATCCTAGCATTGTCGTCATGGACCAGCCTTCAGTCAGTCGCGCGCCCTCTCCTCCCCGTTGAAACAGACGGTCTTCGTTATGACCA